TTGTTCTTTATTTGTTTGCAGAACATCTGATTTCTTGAATATATCCTTAATAGGACTAAAGAAGAAACTGGCCACATTTAGATATTTGAATCATGAAAAATGTAATCTGCTTTAAGAAAAGCACAGCTAGAAACTTTAGCTGGAGAATTTCTAGGTTCAACAGAAAGTGCAAGTAGAACCAGTGAATTATGTCAAGTTTGCACATAGACAAAAGCAGATTGTTTGTTTGTTTTTAAAGGTTTTTCCCAATGTTTAAGCACAATTAAGAAGAAAATATCTTGTGGCTGTCTTCAACTGTGTACAACTACATAGTTGGGCAGAAAAACTCTTTCAAAGTGCTTTTAGAAAGAGAGCTCTTCTGGCTGGCTGTTTATAATTCCTTAAGGTGTGTCAAATGCGTTTTACTGCCTATATAAAGCCAGAGTCAATGTGATTGTTCAGGTCACTGGTAAGTGCCATTGTGCTCCTAGCTGATCATCTTCTGCTGCAGTGTGTATTAATAGCATACAGGATAAAGGACAGCAAGGGTGGGGGATGACTAGCAGACAAGGGTGCCCTTGTTGGGTGACCACTGAGTTCACAGGGTTTGGTCAGTGCTGTTTGCTTCCCAGGCCTGTGCCTCAGCAGTTGTACTACATAGAAACACATGTGGAAAGGGAGCCAGAGACCTCAGATACCAAGTTTCTGTTTTAAACACTAGTCAAAGTGGATAGGTGTGTCACTTCTGGTTTTCAGGAGTTACGAAGAGTTAACAAGAGTTAGCAAGTTCTTTCTGAAGAATTATATTGAAAATGCCCTCTTCTTTTCTTCTTTTCTTTTGGTGTTTCCTTTTTTTGCCTTTCAGCAGTAAAGAATTATTGAGAAATTCATTGACATGTTACCAGCTTAATCAAAAGTTCCTTCAGACTTTACTCACAGGAAGTTCAGTAGGCTGCTTGATGGGTAAAATCTGCCTGTACCAGGACATAAATAGTGTTTCTTTCAATACCATCCTTGAGAGCAGAGGCAGCACATCAGGAGAAATATGAGTCTAGTGCATCTGCACTGTAGATCAAATGAGTGGGAGGGAGGAGACCATGACTCTGGTCCCTGTCATGCTCCTTGTGGTGGTCTTCGTGCCATGGGAGTTGCGCATGCTTCCTGTCTCCCAGGTCCAGTTGCGTGTGGGTTTCCGTGTGGGCTGGAGAAAGACCCCGTGTAATTCTACCCTGTGTTTGATGACCAGGATTGATCCACTGAGAAATGAACATTCCCTGCTATTTCCACGTCCTTTTTCCTAACTTGGGATGAATCGCCTACTCTTCCTGCATGTCAGCATCTGTTTCTGCAAAACAGGGGCAGTAATACTTTTCATCTGTAGAGGCATTATGAGATTTCCTTAAAGTGCGGAAAGCGTTTTTAAAATACCAAGATGATAGGTGTCGTGTGCTGCATGTGCAAACCTTTAAAGAATCTAAACTGCCAAGCCATTAATAACTTGGGAATCCTAAGCTCATTTTTAGTGGCAAACTAGGACACAGACATGAAATAAAGACAAAGTGAGGGTGGTAAGCAGGTGGGAGATACTTAAATGAAAGTTTGTTCTTTTAGTGCCTTGTCCAGGTTATGGTAAGGCAACTTTCTATTTTTTGTGTTACTGATTTGCCTTGTCTTCCCACACTGAGACGCGGCTTTAATCTCAAGTTTAAGAAGTCCTAGGATTTGCTTTCCAGATGGTGTTTACTCTGCATAAAATGAAATGTTGCTTTTCAGGACTTCATCATAGTTTTGTTCTCTTTTATTTTAGAAATCTTCCAGAATCCCTGAGGATGACATCAGGTTGAGAAAAAACAGAGACCAAAACTGTGCCAATTTCTTGGAGCCAGCTACTGTGCTTGCTACAAAGGAAGAGAAAATGGAAATTGAAGTTCCAGTTTCTGAACGTAAAAGCATCACCACAGTGGCTTCACCACATCCCATAGACAATCCAACCCACTTCTTTTCTCCTGCTGCCAGCCACAATGGACTTAAGGACAGGCACGAATCTCTGGACAGTGAAGTTGCTAAAGAGATCAGATACCTAGATGAAGTGCTGGAGGCAAATTGCTGTGACTCTGCTACAGATAATACCTTTAATGGGACATCCTCCCCTGAACCAAGTGCAGTTTCCATTATGGATGGCTCAGGAGCATCTGTTAATATCAATAATGATTCAGTACCCAGCGAAAGGGAAGAAAATGTAGCCGACAAGCAGGCACCCTTGGTAGTTGAACCACAGGAAGCTAGTATAACAGACGAGAACCTGAAATCAAATGGCCATTCCTTGGATGGACTGAAGGAAGACACTAGGGAAAGTCTGAAGGTGCCAGGAAGCCCCACTTCTTCAAACAGTTCTAGAAGATCCTCTAAGGATGGAGAAACGACTCTTACAACCCTTAAGAAAGAGGCTAAGTTTGAACTACGAGCTTTCCATGAAGACAAAAAGCCCTCAAAGCTCTTTGAAGATGAGGAAGAGAAGGAAAAATACAGGGTCCGCAAAGTCAGACCATCAGAGGAAATGATGGAACTTGAAAAGGAAAGAAGGGAACTCATTAAAAGCCAGGCTGTCAAGAAAAACCCCAACATTGCCGCCAAATGGTGGAACCCTCCCCAAGAGAAGACCCTGGAGGATCAACTGGATGAAGAGCACCTGGAGTCCCACAAGAAGTACAAGGAGCGCAAGGAGAGACAGCAGCAGCAAGGTGCAACACCAACATCCCCCAAACAGATCAGCTGCTCCTTTGTACCACCAGACCCAGTCAATATCAAGAAAGAGGATATTGTCACCGAGCAAATTGACTTCTCAGCTGCCAGAAAGCAATTCCAGCTGATGGAGCATTCAGGTCCATCTCAGGGTCAGCCCCCCCCGAGGCGGTCAGGAACACCCAAAATGTTCTCCATCAAACCCTTCTACAAAAGCCTCAATTCTCCACATGTAGACAAGCAACTGTCCTCTGTGACAAGACCCGTTTCAGTGTGTGGGCAAACAGGACAGCTTGAGGGTAACAATGCCACAGTTGTCAAAGCACAGAAGGTCTCCTGTACCTCAGAAGATGATGCAAGTGCTCAGACTACCACTGCTGACTCGGCAAGAGAGTTACGGTGCAGTGATAGCCCCAGAGCTGGACAGGCCTCAAAACTGTGGGCAGAGGATGGAGAATTCATGAGTGCGAGAGCAGTCTTCACTGTGGTGAAGGATGATGGACAGGGCGTGCTAGACCAGTTCCCAAAGTCAGCCAGCGCCTCTTCCCCTCCAGAGGAGCTCGACTCTGGTTTGGATGACTTGTCTGTCAGGTCTCAGGATACCACTGTCTTGGAGACCCTTTCCAATGACTTTAGCATGGATAACATCAGTGACAGCGGTGCCTCCAATGAGACCATGAGCGCCCTGCAGGAAAGCTCGCTGGCTGATTTCTCACTGCCACAGACCCCACAGGCCGACACTCCGGCAGAGTGCAGGGGTGATGGCATCTCCAAGTCCTTCAGCGACCTGGGCTGTGACTCACCCTCCCCAGCATTGGCAGACTCCATGCTGATTGATGATCAGCTGGAGTACCACGCTGGTCTGCTGGTTCAAAACGCCATCCAACAAGCCATAGCCGAGCAGGCGGATAAAGCAAACTACAAGGAAGAAGGAATCCCAGCGGAGAAGGAGATCTCTGTCAAAGAGCAGCCAGCCACCACTGGGCCAGCTCCAGCCTCCAAGGAGCAACAGAACCCAATGTTCGAGCCACCCCAGGTGTCTTCACCTGTTCAAGAAAAAAGGGACACCATACCAAAGACTTCAAAAGAGGAAGACTCAGGACTCAGGGAGGGGAAGAGTTTGCAGCAGTCGCCCGTGTACTCAGCCAGCCAGCCATTCCTTGTGGAGGAAAATAGGCATGAAGTCAGCTATTTCAGCAAGTATTCAGAGGCAGCTGAGTTGAGGAGCACCGCCTCCATCCTCGCCACTCAGGAGCCTGAAGTGACCGTGGGCCCTTTCAAGTTACGGTCGAGGAAGCAGCGGACTTTGTCAATGATAGAAGAAGAGATCAGAGCTGCCCAGGAACGAGAAGAGGAACTGAAGAGGCAGCGCCAAGGTCTGCAGGTGGCATCAAGCCCTATTATGAAGAGCGCACCACCCATGCCCACCAGAACCGTGTCTTACAAAACTGCACCAGGTAAGAGCCCGAAGCATCAGAGTGGAAGTGAAATGTGACTGCAGGGTCAGGTCAGATTTGGTTTTATGTCATTTTTGAGTGAATACATCAGTTTTGCAGAGGGTGGGAGGGTTGTCATGACTTCGTCTGCCTGGAAACTGCAGGCAGGAGGACGATGTGGGACAACCCAACTTTCTCCCGGTGAGCATGCCTGAGGACGCTTTTGTTTTTTCCCAAATGTAGCACAGAAGTAGTTGACGTACCCTGCTGCTCATCATTAAGAAACCCTGCACTCTATTCATCCCTGTCCACAGTATAGCATGACATGTCTATCACTGTGCTGCTCAGACCACCCACTGAAATTTAGGATCATCACAAGGAAGGACATCAGCAGTTTTTGCAGCTGTGTGGTTGTTTGAAAGACAAACATACAAAGCATTTTTAACAGGCTTTCTGTTCTCTTGCACATCATTAAGGAAGTGCAAACATAGTGGGGATTTACAGGTTTTGGAGTTTTGCATCAGATTTCTTTTTGTGTGTGTCTGTCTTGCTTTCTGTTCTCGGGTATTTCTTGGACTTCTTAATGAAGTTTGTTTGGTAAAACGATCTCCAGAGCTGTGAGTTGCCATGTATTTCAGCTGGTGTCATTTACTACTGAATTAAACAGGCATCACAAACAAAATGCTTAATAGATTCAGTAGAAGTCCTCCTCTGACTGATCAGCTTCTGGGTCCTTGAGGTGGCATTCACAGCAGTTACAGCATATCACTCTTCTCCTTCCCCTTCTCAAAAAATAAAGTCAAGCGCTCATGCCTTCTTAATATAAAAAAATATTTAAAAAAAAAAATAGCAACACATGCCAGGCTTATTTCTGTGTAGTGATTTTTATGAGTATAAACGTACATATGCTTTGCAAGTACTTAGAAGTTTCTGTTAACAGTGATCATTGTGAAGTATTAATTTTACCCAGAGCACTTCAATTCTGTCCTTATTTCCACTGGTGTAAATCTGAGTCAGTGATGCTTCCAAAAATTGTGCAAGGTGATCGTTTCCTTTTGAAAGTCATAGCAAACTTGAATAAGGTCTGGATTTAGTCCATTACCCAGTTTGATTGTGAACTTGGAGTCCTATGCAGCACATAGATAGCTAATAGTTTTTGCGTCTTCTGCAAAGATGATTTTTAACTGTGTTTCTTGCCAAAAAAAGTAGCAGATGTCACTAATTTGCTTGAAGTGCTATTGTTATTACTCCTATAGAAGAGTGTTTTTGATAGGGAGTCTCCAGAAGCTGAGGTGTTTTGAGCAATGTCTGACAAGAAGTGAGAGACAAGTCACTGTAGACCTCAGCTGGGAGGACTCATTGTGACCGCTTTCCAAAAACAGCATCATCTGTAGCTGCAAGTCCTCGAAATGAGGCTGGTCGTGGTTGCTTTTTACTCACAAGTGATGTTGGAAGGGCTGCTGACACTAATGCTTATTTTAATGGAGCATCTGGGAAAACAGTGTACTTATTCTTATTTCTCTACACAACGAGGCATTTACTTTGTGTCTGATGTTAAAATGTTCATTGTAAATTACATTCTAGTGAGAGTGATAAACTTGTAGTTGTAATGAATCATTCCAGACAGCTTCCTTTAAATGTCCAACTGCCATATGTTCAGGAAAGAAAATTGGGATCTATTAGCCAATGACTCAAGCTACTGCAATTTGCAGCTGGTGACAAGGCAAAGAATTAATTTCTAGGAAAAGATGAGTATGTGGCAATATGTAAGGATGTCATTGATCAAAAAAACCGCAAAGAGCATTGCTAAAGTCATTCTTAAATCTGCTTTCGGTGCTTTCTAAACAGCGGATGTGCTCAGCAGAGCTCTCAGCTGGCAGAAATTAGCTCAGCACCCTTAGTGTTGGAGGGTGCATACCCTCAGCTCAGCTCATCCTTGCAGTCCCTTTAGCCAGCTGTGTTGCAGTTAAAGCTTGCAGACATCATTAAAAATAGGGAGAAGGGATACCATGCAATCCCTTGGAAGATTGCAGCGACTTTCCTTTTATTTTAATATTTACAGCACCTTTGCAGTATTTACAAAAACAGAGGCAAAAGGTGATTCAGCAGAGGCAGCAAAATCTGGCTGTAAGGCTTTGTTGTGGCAAATCACAGAGGTGAATTACAGAGCAGAAAAGAAAATCTACTTGTGGTAGGCACAGTGAAGAATATGCTGTGGAACATGTGTGATACTGTAATCTGAATATCTAGTTTCACATAGAAAAATAATAGTAGTAGTAAGAAGAAGAGGAAGAAGAAGACGAAATAGATGTACTTCTGTCACCAAATTGCCTTTACCAAAGAAAGAATTGGCACTGTTCTTTTAACATCAGGATACCTCAGCAGAAAGGGATTAGGGGATCAAGCCTAAATTTGAAAAACCTGTTACTAATCCTTAAGTGGGGAAGTGTAAACTCACCACAACTCTTTAGAGGAGGGGCAGTAACTAATTTAATTAGCAATGGCCTAGCTATCAGGTTGCTTCTTGGTGGTGGACTGGGCAGAGTAGCTTTACTAGGACTCTTGGTGGTCCCTGGTGCCTTGTTACTCCTGCCCCACTTCACTGCTTTGAACTGTTGTTAACTGGGTAACAAACACAAAAGACAAAAAAAGGACTGCAGTGAACTGAACTGCTATTTTGACTGAAGTGTGGAAGATTAACACAATTCACGTGGGTGTATGTGTGAAGTAACTGCTAATTACTTTAGATAGCAAACAGGCTGTTTATGTCACCCTGACATACAACTTTCATACAACTGACAGTAACACTAAACTTGGTGTCTGCCAACCACCCAGCACAAGCTAACATGATTCCTGGTAATAAACTTCTCTACTTCTAACAGGGATCCTTTATAGCTGTTTGGGATGCTTCGAAGCAGCCTTTTAACCCATCTCAGATGACTGGAGTGAGACACAGAGTAATTTCAGTGGAATGATAACTATGTGTTGTGTGCCCATAGGACAAGACATTCTCCAAGGTACTCCTGGAAGGGTGAAGGGAAGAACTGATGTGAACTCCTTTCCCAAAAAGTTTTGTTTCCAGCATGAGGAAACACAAGAAAGACCAAAAAAATCCTGGAGTATGGCTAAATGGAGAGTCAGTGTGGATCCCAAAATATTTGTGGAGCTGTATTTAGATTTGAAAATTTCCTGTGTTGTTTTGCTGCAGTACCTGCTGCACTTGGTGAGATGTTGAACAGCTTCATAGCAAGCCAGTGGTTTTCTCCTGCAATGTGTGGGTGGTACACCATCCTTCTTGGGCAGAGCAGCTGGGGCTGTTTGATAGTTTACTTGAACAGCATGATTCTGCCCCTCTACTCTACTCTCGTGAGACCCCACCTGGAGTACTGTATCCAGCTCTGGGGCCCCCAAAATAAGAAGGACATGGACCTGTTGGATTGAGTCTAGAGGAGGGCCAGGAAGATGACCAGAGGGCTGGAGCGCCCGTCCTATTAAGACAGGCTGAGAGAGTTGAGGTTGTTCAGCCTGGAGAAGAGAAGGCTTCAGGGCACCCTTATAGTGGCCTTCCAGTACCTGAAGGGGGCCTACAGGAAAGATGGGGAGGGAGTCTTGATCAGGGAGTGTAGTGATAGGATGAGGGGTAACGGTTTTAAAATGAAAGAGGGGAGATTTAGATTAGATATTAGGAAGAAATTCTCTATTGTGAGATTGGTGAGACACTGGCACAGGTTGCCCTGAGAAGTTGTTGAGGTTCCATCCCTGAAAGTGTTTCAAGGCCAGACTGGAGGGGGCTTTGAGCAGCCTGGTGTAGTGGGAGGTGTCCCTGCCCATGGCAGGGGGGTTGGAACTAGGTGATCTTTAAGGTCCCTTCAAACCCAAACCATTCTATGATTCTATGACTGTGTGACACAAGAGGATCTAGCGTACATTTGGTGGTGTAACTCCCATGTTCCTTTTATTAGGAGTACTTAGACTATGAAGAACTAGTGTCTAATTTCCTGTAGTGCCTGGTTCAAGTAATCTTGGGTCTTGGTTCAGTGAAGGCTTTTCTGTTGGAGAGAGACCCTTTGTGAATATTTGCTGTCTCATGACAGGATATGACAGGAAATTCCTAACACGAGAAGCCATGCCTGGGATAAGCTTTCCTGAAGCTGCCACATCTGCCTTTTTGGTGTTTGTCACCAAAGCATTGTCAGATGAGGCAGAATGCATGTTGCACTACCTACACTCATCTGCAGGCACTCGGACACATCTGCCCACCAAGCAGTCATCTTCTCTTGTCCTCAGGTGATGAACTAGATGAGAGAATTTCAGTGGATGGCAAAAGCCCAGAGGGGGAGTTGCAGATTAGAGATGCAAGTCATCAGGTACATTTACATTTCAGGTAACTGTTCCCTCCAAATGGTGAGAGACATGTGTGTGCTGTCATCCTCTTTCTTCTCCTGAGTGACAGCTGTGGAGCATGAGCCTCTGTCAGAGAAACCACTTCATTCTGAAAACCATCTTCCACTTTAATTTTTCACTAGTTAATACCTACACTACAGAAATTTCTCAGGTTCAGCCACAGCCTGAAGAAACTTTTTGTACAATGGGGGAGAAGCAGAAACTTTGGGGCAAGATATTTTTAATATTTGTGGCCATTGCAAAATTTTTAATGCCCTGTATACATATAAAGGATAAGGATCAGGTATAATCCATATGCATGAACCTTTTTTTAATATGAGAATTTTGATGAAAGCTACAGCAGAAATGGAGCCTTTCAGTTTATGGAAGATACTGTTTCCTTACCCTTTCATAAGCACTGTTATGAAAAAAACAAAGTTCATCACTCTCTTCAAGGATTCCTCTGGACTGCTCATCAGTTATCTCCTGAATGCTTCCAGGAGTGCCTTAACAGCATACTAACCCAGCTAATTCATCATTTGGTCTCTTATTCCCGCCCTAGTGGAGAATGTGTACAAAGTGAGAAGATCTTCCAGAGGTTCTTTTTTTAATGTTTGCTTGTTTGTGTATTCATGTTACTCACCTGGTGTTCAAGAAGACCGAAGAAGCCCACTTTTCACCTGCAGTGGTAATGAGACTGCACATTACCAGAGGGACCTTTTTTTTATCCATTTCGACTATCCCTTGACTTCAGCAGAGACTAGTCTCCTAAAACTGTCTTGCTGAAATACCTTATTTTGAAAAGTTTTCTCTGCTCTGCAGATGTTGTAAAAATGCCACCAGCATCTGTTAAGTAGTTGCTCCTACTTGTGTGAACCCCGATTCTTCCCATCTCCTTTGTACCTTAGCTAACATTATATGATGGCCCTTGTTACCTACTGGTTATTTAGAGGTGTGTCAGGTCCTTGTCCCAGGGCATCGCCTCAGTCACTCTTTCATCTTGGTGTTGCAACAAATCAGCTGAGCATCTTTCCTTGGCTTGCAGCAAGTGCTTGGACACCTGTCAGGCTTCACAGGGTGGACAAATCACCATCACAACCCCTCTTGCCCCCCAGAGTTGTGCAGAGGTTTTGGTTAGGAGGAAGCTAATCAGCCCCCAGCTCTTACACATCTTTGATTCTGCAGAGAGGTGTCAGGCCATGTTATGCAGCCACCACCCCCGCCCCAGGGCTTAGAAAGAGCGTTCTCCATAGGAGCAGCTCCTGCCTGCCCCAAATAGCACAAGAGGCAGGAAATTAAGAGAAATCAAATTACAGGAGCTTCGTAGTAGGTCCCTGAAGCCAGACAGTGGAGGAAGCCATCACCAGAACTCAAGCCACAGAAGATTTTTTGGAGTCCCTTTGAAAAAGGAGAAAAATGTGAAAGTGTAGGTGAAGATTTGAGATGCTGTAGCCTGTACTCAGTATGTTGCAACAGCTCTAAATGTTACCTCAGGGGACTATACTGCTGGTAGCTACTGTTAACTTGCAAGTTTGACTATCAGGCTGCAGTTTTTGCTGGTATCCTACAGGTGTGACCGTGTTTACGTTTGAGTCAGAGCACAGTTCCTTTATTACTCAGCCTGGATTGGGCAAGGACCACCAGCAGCGTCTGTGTGCATCAGGTGTGGGCATGGGACTGCGGAAGTAGAAAGTGCCTGTGATCATCGTGACTCATGATGCTTTTACGCTGAATGACTTCTGCCTGAGAACGGTACCTTATCTGGATGAAAATCTGCCAGAAGAAAATTAACCCAGCACCGTTTCTAACACGATCTGAACTGGCAGAATAGGTCCACACTGGACTGGAGCTTTGCATCGGGTTCATGGAGTTTTTCTGTGGTTGTTCTGAGAGTCCTGAAGCCTCAGACACCCCATCATCTAACCACAACCTCACTGGTGTTTGTGCTAGTTGCTTTCCTTTCCGCTACCATTGGCACCAGTAGGATCCCTCTCTTCCACCTGTCTACCTGTTCTGACAAAATTTTTAGGAACTTGAAAGAGACACTTACTCCTCTGTGAAAAGTAGTTGAAGTGACGCAGTGAATTTCTGAGTTTTTAGTGGAATTCAACACTTACACAAAGAAAATGGTTGTATAAGCATAATTTCTTGTGGATACGAACCACTTAAATATCCTTACTACCTCGGCTTCGCTATTTGTGAAAAGGGATCTGTGACACTGTTCATGGTGACACTGTTCCACATGCGCAGAACTGTTGTGTTTTGCTACAGGGTTGCTGCTACAATACGGAAAATGGTGGGCCTTCCATCCAGGGAGGATGGATCTGCTTGGAGGTATCCCCTTTCTAAAATGTAGATCCCCAAAGCCTACAGTTTGCATTGTTTCCCAGGGGAAATGGAGTGGAAGGAGCACTTTTCAGGCATGAGGCTTGTCTGTAGGTCTGAGCATCCTGTGATGTGTCTGCATCCCTGGGGGAAAGCAAAAGCTGGGCAGACATCTGAGAAGGCTGGTTCTTTCTGCATTACTTGCATACATAGAATCATAGAATGGTTTAGGTTGGAAAGGACCTTGAAGATCATCGAGTTCCAACCTCCCTGCCGTGGGCAGGGACACCTCCCACCAGACCAGGTTGCCCAAGGCCACGTCCAGCCTGGCCTTGAACACCTCCAGGGATGGGGCCTCAACAACCTCTCTGGGCAACCTGTTCCAGTGCCTTACCACCCTTGCACTTGGCCTTGTTGAACTGCATGAGGCTGGCTTGGGCCCACCTCTCCACATCCAAGACAGTTACTTTTTAGTGTAAGAATGAAGTAATACAGCAAGATATCTGACCCCTAACAGGCCTTTTATTTTCAGCAGACCTTTTTTAGCCATTGGACCTAATGGGCAAGGTGATGGTTGTTCTTCCTCTCTCCTGCTGAGCAGCCAAAGCTGTCACACATGGGTTCAGCTGGGCAGCTCAGGACCTGTTGTCGTCCCCTGCTTTGGCAGCGTAACTGTTGGTTGTCTGTTGAGTGGGTGCTGATGCAACCCAGAGGAGAACCTGGGCCCATAGAAACTCCCTCTCCCGCCTCTGGTGGGGTGATTTAGTGGGGATGAATTCCCAGCCTCATCCCAGCACTGGCCAGCTTAAGCTAAGCCTGTAACGAGAAACTAGTGATGCTGGGGGTTTTCCATACTGATCAGAAATGAAACAAGCCCGGCAATGGGATTTCTTGTAAAAGACCTGCAGTGTCGACTCAGGTTTCACTTCTCCCTTCAAGAATATATCCTGCTGATTCTTACAGGAGGTTTCAAGGCTGCTCTCTAGTGGCTACCACTGTCATAATGCTTTTTGGAGGAGCAGCAAAGGTTTTCATTTGTCTTAGCAACAAGAAGTTTCATGAAAATCTGCACGACCCTTCTGGTTCGTTCCCATATTTGTAAGGGGTTTGGGGTGGGTTTTTTTCTCCTTTTTTCTTTCCCATCCATTGAACCATCTTATTTCAAAGAGCTGATGTGCCATGGAAAAGGGAACCTGATTTTGGTTCAGCACTGCTTTTTCTGTCATAGCTGAAGGTCCCCCCACCTTATTCTCACAACGTGCCACCATCATCCTTATTCTTCCCACCAGGGCAAGGTGGGCGGCTCACTCCGATCAACGCCTGGTAACGAGAAACACAGGCCGTCCTCCCTGGAGAAGTGTGGGTTGTCCATCCCCAAAACTATCCCACAGCTCGTTGCTGGTTCCTTGTTCTGGCCTGTCTTTTACCCAGCTCTTCAGCTGCGGTTACTCTGCCTAAAACAGGCTGCCCTGGGTGAAATGGGTTCAGTCAGAGAGCGACCTGACTTCTCTCTGACTTTCCTCCCACCAGGAGACTGAAGGGCCCTGTCTGAATGACGAGTGTGTGGGACAGAGACCCCATCCTCGTCTGGCACGGGTCTCCCTCCAGGAGCACCCTCTGCAAGTTGCAGGACACAGCTGCAGGGAAGAGTAGCACCAGGGACCAACCCAAAGCCTTTCACACTTCCAAAGTAGATAACAAGCACTGGAAGAAGAGAAAAAGCCAGCACCACTTAACCAGATGCTTTCTTTGGACATCGGCTCCCTGGCATATAGTGGTGGTATCCTGTGTGTTTTATTGTCTGAGACAGAAAAAAAATCATCTTGTGGTTTTTCCAGAATCTTACAAATATTTCCAGATCACTAAAATGTGTCACGTATGAGGTAAGGGGGGTAATTCAGCCAGATAATAAGTAATAGTGGTAGGTTAAATTTGCATTGTATCATTTGGCAGCTCTTCCAGGTTTTGTAAAAAGATTTTGTAGTGTTTTGGTGTAGTGCATTTCAGGAAGATAGAGTGTTTTTAAAGCCTATAACCATCCTGATTTACCAGTTTGTTTCACAGACTTCATTCCAAACTGTTTCTTCATTCAAACCCCACTGAAAATGCTTCTTTTGCTATTGTCTTTTGGAAACAACTTGTGAGCTCTTCAGCTTAGAAAGGGTCCTTCCTTTTCGTGTAATTGCAGGAAAGATAGAGAAGATCAAGCCTCCTCCATCTCCTACCACAGAAAGCCATGTCTTGCAGTCTGACCCACCGCCCGAGGAGCCCGCGGGAGCCCAGCGACCCAAGAACCTGATGCAGACCCTCATGGAGGATTACGAAACACACAAAACTAAGAGACGAGAAAGGATGGATGACAGCAGTGTAAGTGCACTTGTCCTTTTCGCTTTTCCTCTCTGTGATAGAGACCATGACTCGTGAGAACCAACATTCAGACAACAAAAAAAAATTTTATTTCCCAAGAATCTGCTCAGATCAACTTTGCAAGTGTGTAAGGATTTTAACACATTGTAAGGGCCAGTATGTTTGCAAGGGAAGGATTAAGGCCAATGAAGAGGAAGAGAGGGCATCACTGCAAATACCAAAGCCAACTCATGTTAAGGTTCTTTTTAATTAAGTTAATTAATAAATTAATAGTAAGGGCAGTGGGTAGCTTCCCTGCAATCGGCAGACTGTTAATTCACACATCACCAAGACCCTCCGGTGGGTTATTTTAGCATCTCTTTGAACTTTGTGGATCAAGCATGTATTCATGCCTGTGTTTGTAGACTCCTAAAGTCCTGTCCCAGTGTGCTCAGGATTCAGTGTAAATGGATAACTTTCCTAGAAACCATCCCTTGCAGAACTGGATTGGCAATTTCTCAGAAATTAACTTGGATCCTTCAGCGGGCAGCATGCTGTTTCCCACTGGATTTGTTGTCTGTCTTCCACACAAACACAAAACCAGCCAGAATTTCAGTTTCTTAAATGGGTGCCTGCATTTCAGTCATTACTGTAGTAGAATTTAACCCAATGAAGTTATTCTTTACTGGAGGCACTAATAAGAAGAGCTATGAATTTCATCACTGGAAGTACCAAAATTCAGGTGCATCCATTATACAACCTGTTCCCAACAGAGCACGAGGTGTTCGTTATTCATACTCATTATTACTGTGGGCAATGAATGCAGAAGGTAGTGAGATACAAGTGTGATATAAAACTTCTTACATGGACATAGTCATTGTTATGTGTTTGCTGAAGCAGCCACAGTCCTCCAGGCATTTCCCAGCGATGTCAGAACAATGACACCAGCACCAAGGAGCTCGTGCTTTAAACAAACTGCTTTCAAGTAACATTCATTAAGGGTAGAGTCTCATTAGGTGTATAGAAGTAAGCGAAGGTTTGTAACATGAATATTGCACTAGTCTGGCAGCTCTTACTCATTACTGCTGAATACTGCACAGTGCATTCCTTCTGATTTTAAGTATCTTATGCTAATGTGGAGAGGTCCTGTTGCATTTCTGCTGGTTCACTAAAACGTAGTAGGGGAGCTGCCTCAAAATGGAGACAGATTAATTTCCAGCGCACACCAGAAACTTTCTGGTCCTTTCTTCCACGGAAGCCATTGAAAAACAAGATCTTGTAATCAACCCATCAGGCTCCTGCTGCCACATAGGAAGCCAGATTGCACACAGAAGCATGCCTTGTTCTTACAGCGGCATCTTGGGAAGGAACCACTCTCTGGTTTCTCCTCCCTCCCAAAAGCACCCAGTGAAATGGGGTGGCTCCACCTACCCCGGTGGGTCCTGTTTTCTGGCATCTCCCCAGGGGATCTCTTTTCCTGAAGGGCACTCAGAGGCAGGAGACATGTCACACTCTCACGCCCTTTGCAGAAGCCAGGAGGAGCTTTAGAAAACAGAGGGGCATAAAACTCCTGCTGTGCAAACCAGAACTGGTCCTCAGGAGTCCTGCAGTGAGTGTCTGTCACTCTAGTGGCTCACAATCTGGGCACGGCAGAGGAGCTGCCATGCTAAAGAGGTGATACTTAGCTTGGTACGCACCCTGAGCTTTTCCTCCACCCCGATGAGGAGCGAAGGTGACTTGCCCAGCCCACCAAGCAATGGCTTGTGGCAGAAGTCTTCTCCCGCACCTGTGATGGTCACATGCCATTTGCCGTGTGTGTTGCATCACACGAAAGGCAGGTGAGATGTCACTGGAGCTAACTCCCTCTGCTTGGTGACCTGAGTGCGAATCCTCGGGTGCTTGCAGAGCTGCACATGTGGCCCCTAGAAAGCAGGTTGGCCACGATTGCATAGTCCCTTCTGCAGTTGTAAGCGAGCCCTGATGTCCTGAGTGGAGCACTGGTCTGGGCAGCATTTGACCGCAGAGGTGTGCTCTAGGCACCAGCTCGGCTCTCTGCTGCTACTGAAGCTGCCCAGGCACTGACCACCCAAAGATGCACTGCCAGAGCATTGGTGTCAGTCAGACAATTTGTGGGATGGATCCTTTTCTGGGACAAATTTTCAAGGCTGCAGTGAATTCACAGAGCCCCAGTGCTCACCGAAGTCCCACAGTGTTGTGGTTTGGTGTCATTCTCCTCTTTGCTAAGCCCGTTGCATACAGCCAAACAAGATTTACATTCCTGGGGCTGCCTACCCAAAATCCTATTAGAGGGCAGTGTCCTGCAGAGCTTCCTTGCACCAGCAGGAGTGTTTTGTTTCTCTTCCCTGCCTTTTTCCGCTCTGCTTTTGTAAACAACTCCCACCATTGACAGGGGAAAGATAATTCAAATAAGAAGTGCTGCACTTGTACCGCTTGTTAGTTTGAGCTAATATTTTACATGCCAGGCTAAACAATAATTATTTAAAAAACAAATAGCTTTGATTTGTCAGCAGAGGACGTTTGACTGTGCACTCAGGAAAAAGATTTCTGTAACTAACGAAACAAAAGAGCACATCAGTGGCCTGTTTTAAAAAATCTATTCAATATAGCAGGGGAAGGAGCATAACTGGCAACCCAACAGGGTGCTTCTACTTGGAGCATTAAGTCCTGAGAGCTGAACGTGGCTCAACATTGCTCTGTGTGAGTGAGGAGAACCAGAGACTTCCTCAGGTATCGGAGAAGTCAGGGTGCTGTGACATCCGAGGCTGAACAGAGCCGTCGGCAGCAGCCACAGTCTCCTGAATGGGGTTGTAGAGAGGTTTGATGTCCATGGAAACTCACCCTAATATGCTGAGCACACCAGCAATACTGATGTATAGAGCTTCAGTTTCTCCCTACGTAAGACACACCAAAAGGCAGGAGGGTGGTTTCAGTAGGACATGTACCCTACCTCTCCTTTAAACATCACCACCTTCTGTTTTATGTCCGGCTTCAATGGCAACAACACGGCCACTCTGGCCGGGGCTTGCAGGTTTTGCCTTTCAGAGACAGAGGGCAAATCCAGCACATCCGCTCTTGGAAGAACTTTACTGCTCAGGCAAGGGGGCAGTTTCTTCCAAAAAAGGACGTGTTACAGTAGAGGTTTCAACAGGTGAGAAAAAGAGAAAAAGCAGCAGCAAGAAAACAGGTCAAGCACTGATGGTAAACACGACTGAGACTGGCCAAGCAACGTCATTAAAAAAAAACCACCAAACTGACTAACCTTACTTTTTTTTTATGACACCAAGTTGCTTGAAATCCTATATTTGGGGATATGCCAGTTCTTGCAATTTCTTTATTTTGTTCTTTTTTCCTAGTTATAACATGCCTGTTTGATGTACTAATGCTGGTCTTTTCCCTTTCTACCAGTACACCTGTAAATTACTGTCTAGCAAGGTTACTTCTGAGGTACTTTTCAACTGCTTACTTATTTTTGCTTCCTCTTGCATGGTGATTCCAAGTGCATGTCGCTGCAGTTTGCATTTTTGTGCTGTGTGCCAGTGCTGTTTCATATCAAAACCGGGATGCAAATGCCTGTGTGGGTTATTCCTTATCTCTCATCAACAAATATTTGTGTGGCTGGTTTTCTAACCCTTGGATTCTAGTTACAATTTCTGGCATGGGAGGGGTTGTAATAAAGGGATGGGAGCTGTTGCCCAGGACTGGAGCATTCCTGAGGCGTGAAATGAGAACTTCTCCTTAATCCTGGTTACTGTTTAGCTGGCAAAGCTAAACCTGGGATCCAAGCATCCTCAGACGCTGAGTGAAACTGCTGTGGCTTTGCTTTGTCTCTGATTACAGAGTATTTAGCACTATCAAAACCTCTAGTGTTCTGTAAAGAATCTGCACACCGACCTTTCATCCGTGGAAGAAGAGTCGGATCCAAACTCAGGGCCTCAGTCTCGTGAATTTTGTGGACCTGTCCTTGTGCCTGTGTGTTGTGATGTGACGTGATGGCTGATCACAATCCCACAACTTAGCATCAGTGTTGGTCTCAGAGTAAAAGAAACACAGACCTGCTAAAGAAAGGGTATTTACGGTGACATTTGGTATATTAGCAAGGCAATAACTTGCACAGTCCTTATCCCTACAAAGCTGGACTCTGCCAAATGCAAGAACTTTAAGAGCAGAGAGTTTATTCCAACTACACTTTTGCAATGTTTGTAGGAAGGAGGTACTCAATAATACGGACATTTCAACTGCTGTAATTTTTTATGCAGACATATGTGTAAATCTGGACTTCTCTGAGACACAAATAGATTGTGGTAATGACTGGTATTAATTCGTCCAATATCAGCTGTTTTTTATAAACATGAACCTTCCACTATTTCTGTGTTCCATAATTTATTTGACCACACCAGCTACCTCAAGACAAGTATATGAACATTTTCTGTCCTGGCGAGTAAAACAAAGTCAAGTCTATTCGTTAAATAATTTAGGGTGGGTTTTATCTCACAGATACAAGCCAGCGATTGATCTTTGAGTAGAGTATTCATAGAGAGTTGATCAGTATAAGCGCAGCGTGCTTTCAGAGATCTGGTTTTAAACATATGCTGGGCCTTTTCTCCCCCATAATATCTGCACAATAATCTGAGTTATGATTTATGAACGGTAAGTAGAGATCAGCGCGTTTGATGTTGTGTGGGAGGCAGAAGCTCAGGTGTAGATTCTACATGGCCAGCCCTTGGCCTGCTGCTGGGAGGTTGTGTGTCCGCGTTGTAAAATGATAATGACGTGAGGAGAAATGAGCTGAAAATGAACGTGCATGGATAGAAATGGAGGTAGAGATGAAAAAGGCTGTAGGACACGGCAATTCTGTATGCAGGTGAAAGTATGCCACCTGGCTAATCCCCAGCGTTAATCCCAGGTGGAAGAAACCGTTTGGTTCTCACTGCAAATCTTTAGCTGGAGCTGGGCAGTTCTTTCGGAGGGAACAGCAAGACTCAGGGCACGGTGCCCCCCTACTCTCTACTGACCCCAGAGCTGAGCTGTGGCTCCGTAACCTTCTCCAGTGCAGGCAGGTGGCTCAGTTTTAATTGGCAGCACTGGAGCTGACCCGACTGTGTTTGTGCCGGCTGGGAGCAGGGGCTTCCACGCAATCGGCCTGGCGGCTCCGCTCCGGTGAGCAGCAAACCCAGGGTAAGGTACGGTAACTGCTGAAGGTAAGCTACATGCAGCAAACCACAGCCCGCCTCCTTGGGTTGATGTGGTGTTATCACCTCCAAATTCCCGCAGCCTGTGTTAAAAGCACATCCACCTGCTGTTTTAAAGAGGCCACAGATAACTACGTGCTTGCACCTATATAGGTTGGTTTTGTCCTCAAAATCTTCTGCTTTTGTCCTTACAACTATATGTATCTTCAGATTTACAGGACATTATCCTGAGTTTGCTTAGTATCAATCATGCTGTAGGAGATGCTGCAGTAAGTTGACATTTATGCAACACTAAAGGCTACTGCTGAAAAATTTTGTGTTACGAAACAGAAAACCAACATACTAGTTTTGATGGCAGAGAGCACACAGTTTATGTTTTAATACTGACCAGCAGCAGTATAATACCGTTACTGTCTTGTTTCAGGTAAACACATTTTCATCTCAGGTACCCAGTTCCTCGCTGTGCTCCCTAGAGGTCTGGGGTATTCAGTGAATAGCATTAAGTAGGTACAGTAAAGAAAATACCTTTATACTAGAGAAATGGATGTTCTTTGTCCCTCACTAGTTCCAGTTTTATGTTAAAGCATTTAGTTTATCATTCCTGAGTGGGAACACTCACGTCTGCAGGAATAGACAGCCTGTTCCCTGCCTTTGTGCTTCCGTCCCTGTGCACCGTGTGCTCCCTGGAGGTGAACTGCGCAGCGACTTTTCCACATAGTACTGGTAGATTTTAGACACCAAGACTTTTGCATTTTCTGGTTTTGTTTGAATCACTAAATATTAAGCTCCAGAAAAATCGTGTTGCTTCCTCATCGGTTTTGCTGCTACTGTTCAATAAAAATTAGCCTGTACTGTATAGTAGTCAGTTTCATTCAGTGGTGGAGATAAATATGCTTTGTACTAAAGCATATCTGTATTTTGCTTTGTATTCTCTTGTTGCCAGTAAGAGAGCAATTGTTGTTACATCTGTTGGAGGGGAAACTCAGGACAGGTTAGTTTCCAACTCTAGGATGCATGGATAAATTAATCTTACACCTGATAGTGTTTCAATCTTTTTCTTTTTAAATCCTCAAAAATAAATGAAATCTGTCATGAAAGAGCCCTCTGCAATTCTTAGCGAGACCCCAGAGCTGCAACCACAAGATCCACACATCCACTTTTTGCAAAGAGGGGTGAGAGCAGTTTTTACAGCCCTACATAATTTGGTACATTTGTCTTCTCCTCACACCCACTTCTGCTCTCTAAATTCTTCCTTTTCTAATGCAGCTAGTAGTCAAATCACCTCTCCCAAGTAAGACATTTTATATAACATTGCTTTTTTCACTGACGTGATCTTACCCTTAGGATGTACCCAGCTCAGTTCTTCAGCCTTAGTTTGAGTGAACTGTCTGCTTCTGATTTTCCATATACACCTTCTGCCTGCAGTTATGAGCCTGGCTGCCTCAGGATGCTCTGACCGGCCAAGCCTGGCCCTGCCTGGGTCGTTCACTGCAGCTCACTGCTGAGCCGACGTGGGGCATCATCTCTTACTAAGCCTTGAGGTGGTATGTTGCAATGTGGCCAAAATGCAGCATGTTGCAGACCCACAAAACAGCCGCGACAACAAAAGCAAAAACCTTTCCTTCCTTCAACCTACAGTGGAGAGCCTCTGAGCACCGGACTCATGACGGATCTACGGACGGCCCTGATATCTGCCAAGAATATTTTAAAATGGAGATCGTTTGCTATTTTAGGCAAGCAGCTTCCTGGTTTGTGAATTCAATGCTCCATTGAGGAGACCCAGTTCTCTACTCAGTCATTCCAGTTGCATGCTATAATTACCCCATTGTTTCCTCTAGCGGGTGTAAAACTGACACGGCCTTGTAAAAATGAGGGTTATTTTAGGTCAAACACTCTTCTCAGTAGATGAGAAGAATAATTCTGGAGTAACTGTTCTAAAGGACCTTCAGCTTATTAGTATTTGCTCTACTATTTAGAGGGCTTGTTTATTAAGACTAAGGCAGACATCAGTACTTTTTTTCCCCGCAAAACCTAAGTCAACATTCGGTTCCCTCATGGTAGCTCTGATATAATTCTGGAAACAGTTTTCCTTGGAGCAACCAGCAACATTTACAGAAGTAGACAAGCTTCTGGGCAGGTTTGCAGGCTGGGGATGAATGGAAGAAACGTTGTTGCTGCCTTTTAAGACAAACACAAGCTAACTGATCCAAAGCAGAAATTTTCAAAATTTAAGGGCCATCACCAGAGACCATCACAACATTGTGAGTTCCAGCAAGGAAGACACTGACTGGAAACTGTTGTAGATGATGTAAAATCCATTTAATTTTCAGCTGGCATAAATCTACAGGCCAAATTGAGCAGGCCTCATCGAAATATACCACCACTCTGGGATAGTGACAGTTTTGGTTTGAAATTTATGTTGACTTTGTTGGGTTTTCCTGTAAATTTCAATATCCAGTGAGGAGAACAGTAATTTTCTGTGGTTTATTTAATCATTATCTCATACTGGTCTTGATAGTCTCCTGTCTGTCAGTATTTGTTTGTTGCCATCCAAAAAAAGAAAGTCACTGGGGTTTTTTCCTCTTTCATTGCTAACCCTGGAGCAGCCACTCTCTTTTTTCATTCTGAGAAGATAACAAGATGATGCTCTGATACCCAGTCCCAGTTTTGTTCTCCATTGTTCAGTTTGGGTTGTCTGTCCTTGGTTTTGGCCCTCAGAATCCCAAATGTGGTTTAAACCGCTGGTCCTCAGCCCTGTAGCAGGAGTGCATCCAGTATGCTGCTTACAGGCTGATGTGTCAGGAGGAATTC